CCTCATAAGGTGCCATCCCGATACTCGAATGAAAGCTATTGTTGTAGGTAAATTCGATCAAAGGTAACATGCTATCCCAACTCCCTGGTTGTTCTAAGACGCATGCTCTTAAAAGGTCTTCCAATGACTGTATCGTCCTTTCCGATTGACCGTCCATTTGTGGATGATAAGCTGAACTCATCTTCAACTTAGTCCCCAAAGCGGTTTGCAAACTAGTCCAAAAGTTCGAAGTGAAACGGGGTCCCTATCCGACACAATGCTTGACAGTATTCAGTTGAGGAAATATGTTGGAGATCCATCTAATGTGGTTGAGTCTGATCAGATAGAGTTGAGGGATAATTTGACTTTTGCAACGTTGCCCGTGAGAATCATGGATACCAGTATAAAGAGATTGAGAGACAAGGAAATTGCCTTGGTAAAGGTGTTGTGGAGCCAAGTGGACGAAGGAGACGCTACTTGGGAAGTTGAGCAAGAGATGAGGGAGGATTACCCTCATTTGTTCGAATCGAGGTATGTTTGATTTTCGGGGACGAAAATTCTTTTAAGAGGGGAAGGATTGTAACACCCCAAATTCTATAGAATGAATATGAGTAACGTGGAAATTAAAGGAAGATGATATGAATGTTTACAATTACGCATGTGTGTTTACGAATTATATTAAAGCTTAATCGTATTGGAAATGTGGATTATCATGTAATGTTAGTTTTTGAACTAATGACTTACTCCCTTGTTTTGTGTGTTATTTATGATAATCTCATTGTAGGTAAATGAAGAATTTGAGGAGGAAGCTCACTTAGGAAGCTTATGTATTTATTATCTTGAATGTCTTTATCGCTGCTTTGACATTGTAGTTGATTTGATAACATTTTGGGATGAATGTAAATCTGATTAGGACAATACTGAGATATGTAGTTATGGAGGTTATAACTCTTAAAAACCCATACTAGTCGTATATGGTAATTACTAAATGCATGAATTATGTTTTTCCGCAACATGAATTGCATGATAACGTAATAGGGTAAAAGATTAGTGTCAATGAATTATTCATGAAGGTTTTTCAGTAAAATAATGAATGTATCTAAGGAAAGATTTTAAATAAACAAAAAAATTTCAAGGGTAGAATTTGGGTCCTTACATTATATCCTATTGAAAATCACCTAACCTACACTAACCTATCCAACAACCATATACACTTTAACCTTACCATCTCTGCTCACCATACCCCTTCTGATTACTTTGAAGCCATTAAATCCCCACACTGGACATAAACCATAACATCACAACTCACTGCCTTATCAAACAACAACACATGGGTTTTAACCAAGCTTCATTCTGATAAAAGAGCAATTGGATGCAAATGGATCTTTAAAATCAAGGCCAATGGGTCCATAGAAAGGTACAAAGCAAGGTTAGTTGCTAAACGGTTTACTCAAACCGAGGGAGTTTATTACCTTGACATTTTCAGTCCAGTGGTTAAGATGACCACCATACGTGTCATGCTCTGCCTAGCTGCTCTCAACAATTGGCATCTTCAACAACTTGATATCAACACAACATTCCTTCATGGTGACCTCAAAGAAAGTGTATACATGAAGCCCCCACGTGGTCTCAACTTAGATGATTCCACACTTGTCTGCAAACTTCAGAAATCTACCTATGGACTCAAGCAAGCAAGTCATCAATGGCATGAAAAACTCACTAATACACAATTTCAACTTGGATATCTCAAATCCTTTTCTGATTACTCTTTATTTACTCATAATAATGCTTTAGGCTACACTTCTATCTTAGTCTATGTGGATGATTTGATCTTAACAGGAAACAACATACACCAAATCACCTACACCAAAGCTGTTCTTCACAATAAATTCAGCATAAAGGACCTTGGAGATCTGAAATTCTTCTTAGGCATGGAAGTAGCTAGATCAAAGGAAGGCATTGCTTTGTATCAACGAAAATATTCCCTTGAACTCCTTCAATTTGTTGGCCTTCTTGCAACCAAAGCTTCCTCAACACCAATGGCTTACAACACATCTATCCATTCACAATCTGGCTCCCCTATGTAAGACATCACTAAGTACAGAAAATTGATGTGCAAGCTTCTTTATTTGACTCACACTCGTCCTAATATATCTTTTGCAATTGGATGCTTTAGCCAATTCCTTGCTTCTCTTACTGATTCTCATTATCAAGCAGCCCTTCACATCCTCAAGTACCTGAAGGCTTCACCTGGACAGGGATTGTTCTTCCCTAGCAACAATACCAACATCATTCAAGGTTATTCTGACTCTGATTGGGCCACCTGCATTGATACTCGAAGATCAGTCACTTGACGGTGTTTCTTCATTGGTAAGGCTCTCATTTCATGGAAAATCAAGAAGCAAAATATTGTCTCTCGTTCATCCTTTGAAGCTGAATATCGTGCACTTGCCATAGCCACTTGTGAAGCTTAATGGTTGCTTTTCTTGTTCAGAGACTTGGGGATTCCTCACCCAAAGTCAGTCACGATCTTTTGTGATAACAATTCGGCTCTTCATATCGCTGCCAATCCCGTCTTTCACGAACAAACAAAACACATAGACGTTGATTGTCATGTGGTTCGTGAAAGGTTGGATAACAACACCATTCATCTTCTTCCAATTCATACTTCTCTTCAACTCGCCGACATCTTTACAAAATCCCTCTCACCTTCTCCTTTTCGCAATATTATGTCCAAACTTGGCACCATTGACCTCCATATGCCAAGTTTGCGGGGGCGTGTTGAATTTACTAATGGCCCGGACAAAAGCCCAATACACAAGGAAGTTTCTTCTACTCAAGTCAAGCAACTTTCCTTTTCTGGATAATTTTCAAAATTCAGTTTTCTGTTTGGTTGCTATTTTTGGCAATTTTCTGTTTTGTTTCTGTTAGCTTTTCTTTTCTTTCTTTTCTGTTTTTCATCTTCTTATTTAGTATATAGAGGGGTGAATGCCTTAGTTTAATACACAGTTCTTCATATTATTTTGCATCAAACACTTTCTTTTGCATTTTCCAATTAATAAAGCTTTAAGAGGTATTATTCAAAAGCTTGTTACTTTGTTATTCTTCCTTATGTTCTTCATAAAACGCTTTTGTTAGCTACAATGGATTCTTACATTTCACAAATCATTTTCATGAAATTAAAGTTTTGTCATTAAAAACAAATAAAAAATATGCAGTTGTGGTTCCACTAAGAAAGAAGATCCTAATTCTTTTTGAGATACAACTCATCCCTCTTCTCCTTCTTAGAACCCTCTTGTTCTTCTCTCGCTCAAACCTCTTAATCAACCAACATTTATTTTAAACTTACCACTATTGCATTATCAATAGTTTGTACTTTTACTTGGAAACAGTGGTATTATATTAGAGTTTGTTTAAATAGTGGTTATTATATTACAGCCCACTCCTTCAATGGGTTTGCATCGCATGTGGTTTTTGTGACGATGGAGGAACACGAATGGAGATTCAAAACACCCCAAATATGCAGCCATGGATGAGGATAAAAACCCAAAAACTCAATTTCCGAATTCAATTTTAAAACTGTAATTTTAGTACGAAAATTCAATTGTAGGAGGATTGAATGAATTGGTAAATGATAAAGGTGATGGGACTTTTGTTTATGTGATGAAAGCATTGTTTTTGGTTGCCATGGATGAAGATGAAGAATAAAGAATGTTGAGGAAAGTGGAGAAGATGAAGATGCATGGGAAGGTGCTGAAAAACTGAATGAGGGAAGTTATGGTGGTGAAGCTGGAAACAACAGATGAGAGGAGTGTGTAAGTGATTTGTTGGATAAGGAGGAGAACGAGTGTGATTTGATTTGAGGATAAATGGAAGGGAGAAATGAGGCGTGAAGAAAACACCCAAAACTATTGTGTTGTGTGAGAAGGCATTGGGTTTATTTATGTTTTAGCCATCATTTCTAGGGAAATCTTGAAATAAGTGTATCCTTACCGGTGTTTGGTTAAAAAAAATTAGAATATTTTAACCAACACACAAGATGTTGTTTCAAAAAAAAAAAAAACTTCCACATCTAGACACATTCAAATAGATGGGAAAATGTCTCCTACCGATCCATGTAGACCATGTAGTTAACATTAAATGATGGGAAATAATTTAAATTTAGTAGAGGCTTACTTGATAATACAAAAAAAAGAACATGAGAGAGGAAAATATGTATTATAGGTAAACCCCTTTTTATTTTCAACACGGAGAGGAACTAAACAGTTTCTCTAGTTAATGGTTGATCATCTGGAAAACACTTCACAGTTTAGTAGTGACACGTTTAACTTCTCTGTATTTTCGTACTTGACATGGAAACAATGAAATATCTGAATTAATAAGAAACCTTTGAGATAATTGAAGAGAGAAAATTGGCAATAAACTTGATAACCCTTGGCTTAACAGACACATGTGGTTTCTTCATCATCTACAATATTTTCATCAAGGCACTACTCACAGAGAAGTCAACAAAAGAAATTAGTGATTAAAACTGCCACATGAAACAAAAATGAGAGTAAATCATAATAACAGAAGTGGAAAAGAAAGAACCTGGCATAGTGCATGATATTAAGTAATTATAAGACACATAAAATTTAAGGTTTTAAAATTAGGTATGCTACCATTATAGACACTTTTACTTTAAGGTTTATAAAATCGCTAAAATTTATACTATGAACACAGTTGTATTTGTTTCCACCACAAATATCAGGAATTATAGAAAACATGGTTTTTGATGTTTCCAAAACTTATACCAAACCATTATTTAGGTGTAAGAGAAGTTGGGTGAAAAACAAATAAAATATTACATAAAATAACACTTATATTCTTATTAGTTATATTGAGATTACAATTTTCCTCTTAAAAATCATAGGAAAAAAGAACTCTCTTCTCCATTACTTGAATATAGGATCATATTCACCAACCAAATTGCCAAAAAACCCAAAAAGAAGAGCTTCAAGTGTAATGGAACATGAGAGTGTAAGAAACCCATGAAACTCAGGATGGATAGCACAATAGAAGATCAAAAATGGAGCAAGAGAAGATCATCCATGGCGCTATCCCTCCTGAGCTTAACAGATTCATTCACACTAAAAACCAAGAAGCTGAACAACAGTATGAAAGAGATGCAGATAATAACCCTTTTATTAAAGAAGCTAGCTACTATTATGTAAACATTAAATGCTTCTGATACATGGTGGGGAAGGACGTAGCAGAGGTATTTATAGAAGAAGCAGAGAAAGGGGCGTGGGTTGATTCAGAAACAAAAGAAAAAGTCACCACCTCCTATTGAGCCATGTAAAGAAGTTCAGTATCAGCTTACTACTATCTCATGTACCGGAAATTAGAGTTAGTTGATCACTTTTACATTTATACGTAAGGATAAAAATGTTAAATTATATTATATTTTTACTCTTGTTTTAGATGTACTTTTCTTTCCATTACTCGAGATAATCCTAACTCCTCCTATACTTACTTGTAATTGAGAGGTTTGCAGTTTTGCATTTCTAGCTTGGAGTTATGAACGACAAGTTTGTACTTATAAACTCAAAGGTTATAAATATACAAATAATTTATTAAATTAGTGTTGTTTGGTAAGATTAGTTTATAATTAGTTAAAATTGGAAAAATCACTAAAAATACATGCAATATTAACTTAGTTATTTATTAGTTAAATAATGAATAAATGGAGTAGGTAAATGTGTAAATAATTTAAAATAAAAATTTAAAATTCTTTATTTTAATATTTTATTTATAATTGATATGTAATGTATTATTTATGTGTTTGTTTTATTTTAACAACTTTTAGCAAATTTCAATATCTTTTATCTTTTTAAAAATACAATTATGTAGATTAAGTTTATAATATTCTTCACTTTAACTTTGTATATCATTCAAAAAGATATAATATAGAAATAATTTATACATTTTTCTAATAATAAAATGCAGAAATAATTTATGCACCACACAGAAAATTTAATGTAAAAATAATTTATACATCATAAAAATGATAAGGTTATTAATTGGAGTAAGTATGTAATTTATTAAAACTTTAAACGGTATAATTAGTAAGAAAATTATTAGCAACTAGTTTCATTTTCTAAATGTTGTTTCATGTAACTTTTTAAAGAGTAGTTTTCAAACACTACAAACTCATTTTTAAAAGTTACAATTTTACTTTAATTTTTGCTTACCGAACTACTCTAATAGTTTATTGGCTGAGTCAAAAACTATATGAAAAACTTGTGTTTCCGAATAATACCAATATTATAATTAAAGATGATATTTTACTATCTAAATCAGTAAATATGCTTAAGAATTGAAAGTTTGAAATCAGTAAATATACTTAAGAATTGAAAGTTTACAATACTAACCAGTACAATTTGACATTTTTTCTATCATGTGGTTGCTTCTTAAATAGGGTGGGTCTTATTTTTCCAATTTAACTATTTAGGTTGCTTTTGTACTTTGAACGCCCTTGCCGACTGCCATAGAGTCCATATTTTCCATTCTATTGAAAACTACGTACAATTTTGAACTTTGAATTAAATTATAATTATTAACTTGTTACTACTCCAAAATCATTTCATTATGAGGATCAATGGTATATTCACTTTTGGGTAAACAAGATGGTTTCTATCAGTTCTCATGTCCTTAGAGTGTTCCTACTTTTTCCATGAATCAAATTCAATCAGTGCTATCTTTCGCTTTCTTTACTTTTGGGCCATATAATTTGAGGTGAAATTATCAATACTTTCAAATATTTGGCCACTATAGTAGCTAGCCAATGATAATTTATAAAATAAAATTTAAGAACAATAATTAGTTGGGAGACATAAGGTGATCAAGTGGTAAGAGTGGAAGAGTTAAGAAGTGAAGTGATAAAGAGGTTGAAAATTCAAATCACCCACCATAAAATAATAACATACTATCATTTGCTTATAAAAAAACAATAATTAGTTAATACATAAAATTAGAGTGTCATTAACATCCTTGTTACTCCTTTTCCATACCTTTTCCTAGACTAATTTTTTCTCAAATTTTCATATAGGTTAAAATGTGAAGAATTCGATTCTTTTGAGCGACACTTATTAGGAGGACATTCATCTATTCAAAAGAGATTAGTTCTCTATAAGGGGATACCATTGATTAAACTAAATCATTCCTTTTTTAAAACGTGCTTTTAAGTTGTATAAATTTATTTCCATCATATTGAATTTAAAAATTACATGCCACCAAAATGGCACCCAATCACGAAGTAAAATTTAAAATTAAAAATCAATTTTTTTTAACATACACACTTGAGACTTACTATTTTTATAAAAATAAATAAATAAATAAGGAAACTTGAATTTTGATCACTTATTTCCAAAATTGAAAAATGGTCACTCTACCTTTGTTAAGAGATGCACATATTCTGCAACCGAGTAAAATCTGATTTATATCGAGGAAGCTTGGGGACATCAGGATGCATTTTGGCTATTAAGTTTTTTATGATAGTATTGAGTCACACCACAATTGTGGAACCTACAACTATTTGGGGTTCCATTGCTATTGGGGCATAAGAAGAGTAGAAAACTTCAAGTGAGACATTATGTCTTGAACCAAAACCTTAGAGGTATTAGTTCAATGAGTTTTTTCCACTTATAAACTTTTTCATAATTTAATTCCCTTTATTCAATGTGAGACTTCAACATTTGAATAAAATCAACAATTGTGGGTACCACATACTTATCACACAACGCCAAAATTTTTCATCTACCAACGATCATTCAACATAAATGTAAAGCAAAAGAGAATCAATCACGCTCGTTCAAGCAAGCGTTGTTAAGTTCATTTGGCGGATGCACATTCAAAAACGCTTTCTACAACGAGCGTTGTTTGCCTCAAAGATTTAACAACGTTCTTTGAAGCAAGCACTACTAATTTGCATAGATTCAATATCGCTATATATAGTGAGCACTATTGAAACCCGTGACTTTTCATGATTTTCATATTTTTTAAGCAAAAATTAAATGAATATTAACATATATTTGTATTATGATTAAATTAGATAATTGATACATTTCCTAATCTCAAATTATATCTATGAATCTTTAATAATAACTTTAAAATATTTCTAACACTAATATTAATAATCTAAAATTCTATTTAATTAATCTACTAAATATAGGCATAATTTATTTATTCAAAAAACAATAATCAACAATGCTTAATGAAGCAAACATGATTGAATGTATATATGCATATTACATTTAACGACGCTTTCTTCAACAAGCATTGTTAAATGTCATAGGTGGAAAAATACTCAAGAATGTTTGTTCACCTGATTCACTTCCCTCTACATTCTCAAACTTGTTCGCACAGAAAACCTCACACGCTCAGAAAATCTCATACACACAGATAACCCCCATTCACTCAGAAAAGTTCAATAATGGATTCTTATAGTGGTGATGACATGACTCCACAAAGTCAAAAATGAACTTCACCTAGAATGACGACCATGAATAAGGTCATTCGTGCTAGAAGTAAGAATATTAAGTTACTAGTTGAATTGAACGCAAAAGGCCAACCATTAAACATGAAGGGTGACAATACATTGGTAAGTTACATTGGAGTTATGATCAAGCAGAATGTGGTGATATCATTCAACTCTTAGAATGATAAGATGTTTGACAACTTGAAGGGTATCATTTGCAATGACATAATAGTAAGTTTCTATTTGCGTGTTTATTAATTTGGATATGTATTTGTGTTTAGTGAATTTGATATGTATTTATATGTTTAGTGCGTTTGTACATTCCAAATATCTAAATATGCCTATAACAATTTCCATGTAATGATCTTTTTTAGTTGGCTTATGATGTTGGTGGGGAAGACAAGAATTACATCCTTAAATCTGTCAGCAAGAGTCATCGTCAATAGACCTCGACATTCTATGATTGGATGCCCGTAAGAAAAATGATGGTGTAATCGGCAATAAAAATGTCAAGAAGTGACAAATCGTGTTGTAAGTGCTTATTGTAACACCTAAAATTTAAGTCCTTAAAATTATAGTATCAGTTCTGAGATTCTCGCTTGAGCGAGGGATTCTCGCCTGGGAGAGAAAGGCTCATCTGGGAGGGTGAAATCCTGGGCTATACTGATGGATTCTCGCCTAAGCGAGAGTTAGCTCGCTTGAGCGAGAGTGGTCTAGCTTGGGCGAGAGTTGGCTCGCTTGGGCGAGAAAAGTGACATTTTGGACATGTCGAGGCTGTAAGATTCTCGCTTGAGCGAGAGATGCCTCGCTTGGGCGAGAGGGTCAAATCTGAGTTTTTAAAATAGGCGGGATTTTCTCGCTTGAGCGAGAATAGGCTCGCTTAAGCGAGAACCCGACGCTGTTGCATTTAAGAGAAGTGAAGAAAGAAAGGGTTTTCAAGAGCAAGGAGTCTTATGAATCATCTAAGAGCTTGAGAAGATGTAAAACTCTTAATTCTAACTCTCTTCTTCCCTTTGAAACTCATTTTGGGTATGGTGGATCTTTTCTCAAAATGTGAGAAACCATGGAATCTCGCCTTTTTGAGTTATGGTTCGTTTTATGTTATTTTTCTCTAGTAAACTCTTGGTTTAGAGTTGGTATTTCAAGAATGGAAAGGTTTTGTGGGTTGGTTCATGAAAACCCCAAAATCCTAAAATGGAAATGTGGTTAAAGAGGAAAATGAGTAAAATGCTAGAGGTAGAAGATGAGTATACATTCTAATGTTGAAATATGAGATGAATATGTATGTTTTAGATGGTTGTAAACTCATGATGAAAGTAGTTTAGAAACATCGAAAATATGATGAATATCTTGTATGGTTAAATAATGCAATATAAGTTGTTGATGTGATATTTGGAATAAATGACTGACATTATTGTTATGTGGTGGGGATAGTGAAAGATCCTAAGGTTGGAGGAGGTAGCGAAGGAACTTGCAAAGTTACCCAAAACCAACCCCGATACGTACCGAGGTAAGGAGAAGTGATTAATGGTATATGATAATAGAAAATGTATGGATTTTCTGATTATGTATATGATTTGTGCATGACTTGCCCGATGTGGTATGGAGA